GTATTTTTCTAGTGAGAGGGGATTCTAATGTCATTATTTCGGAAGAAAGCAGCCTATATTGTTAATGTTTTGCACCTAATTTTAAATTTGTCACGTTACAGGGCAGAGATATTACAACTAACTTTCTAGTTATTTTAAGTGATTTATCGGTACTTTAACGTCACGTTATTACGAAACTTTAAACGTATTTATATTTTAAAATGGTAAACTGAGTTACTGACTATAAGTGGTAGGTGTTTCGCGAAAGCAACAATTGTCTCCAGAATTTCACCGTAATATTCGGTCGACTGTACAAGTCGTGAATATTTGACAGTAGTTTCTTTCTGCTGTCTAAAGCATTAAACGTTTCCTCGAACGAAACGTTTGTCGTATGACAGTAGTTTCTTTCTGTTGTCTAAAGCGTTAAACGTTTCCTGGAACGAAACGTTTGTCGCATGACAGTAGTTTCTTTCTGCTGTCTAAAGCATTAAACGTTTCCTGGAACGAAACGTTTGTCGTATGGCAGTAGTTTCTTTCTGCTGTCTAAAGCATTAAACGTTTCCTGGGACGAAACGTTTGTCGTATGACAGTAGTTTCTTTCTGCTGCCTAATACATTAAACGTTTCCTGGGACGAAACGTTTGTCGTATGACAGTAGTTTCTTTCTGCTGTCTAAAGCATTAATCGTTTCCCGAAACGAAACGTTTGTCGTATGACAGTATTTTCTTTCTGCTGTCTAAAGCATTAAACGTTTCCTGGAACGAAACGTTTGTCGTATGACAGTATTTTCTCTCTGCTGTCTAAAGCATTAAACGTTTCCTGGAACGAAACGTAAGAGGGCGAGTCTATTAGTTTGACCTTTCAGAATGTAGGTAAGTCCGATGCGTTTTGGGCTTGGTTGAATGTATACGTTAGGGCCAGAAAGACTTGTGTGCTTTTTAAAACTATTGTTTAGAAACTTAAATTTTGATCTCGAAGCTGTACTAGTTCATGCAATCTAAGTTTGGTATTTCGAGAAAAAAAAAAGCAATACTTATACCATAGAATCGGCCTCCTGTAAGTTGATAGTTATTACACATTATCGAACATTGTTGACTATTTTGTTTTAGTCTGTATTAAGTCATATTGAAAGACTGTTATCGGTTTTAAAAACTGATGCACCTCGGGGGTCTTTGTTAGCTTACTTTTACAACCTCCTACGCCCTAAATCTACTCTCAGCGCGCGTGCAACGTCACTAGTCTATTTATAAACCAACAAGACTTTCTAATTACGTGAAGGTTTCGCAACTTTAGGGTTAATAAAGAGGTAGTAAATGTTGGACTTGGTATGTAAAGATCTGTGATCCTGGCACCATTCTTCTCTAACATTTTATTTTGGACACTTTAACATTGGTATATTTTTCAATTATACAAAAGTGGAAGAAAATTTTAAGGGGGGGGGGGGTCAGAAAATGTAAAAGCTGAAATTGACCTAATTTTTTTAATAAAATGGTCATTAAAACAAATAAAATATAATAGTGTTTATAGAAGTTTTATTTTATCTTTTAACAAATGACACAAAACGAGTTTTATCTATATATAAGCTGAAAAATAATGTGATCGATATGCCTAGATTTTCAGGGGGTCTGGCCCCCTTGGCTACGCCTCTATAATGCTTGTGGAAGTATAGTTATGAAATCATAACCTTTGAAGCTGAAAGTATGTATTACTCAACAATTACTTTTAAGTCCTGTTATTTTGTAACTTCCATTGTGTCCTTTAACTCGTGTATATTTCAGTAATGAATATGTTTCTGGTTTACCTACAGTTGGAGGAATGCAGCGCACTGGAACACTGAAAGCCAACACCATTAAGAAGGTGGCTCCTCCAATGGTGCCAGACCTCAACAATCGTCATTCAGGTAGTAGCTTCTCCAGTGGTTATGGAAGTACATTAGCAGATAGAACATCCTACTGCAGTGTTAGTACAGATGACTCCTTTCCTCCTCCTCCAAGATCCCCAAATAAAGGTATCTATGAAAGCTTTTAGAAAGAAAATTTTGATTTATTGGTTATCCAGAAAACTAGAATTATATACCCCCACTTATAATATCTGTAAATAATTGTGTTCCGAAAAGGGGGAGAATTGTATAATAACTGTTGTTACATAGCATAAAATTAGTTATACTTTTGTTAGTAATGTTGTAAAGTTGTTATTTCAATGACTGGTTCTTTTCAATTGTTCTTTCATTGACGGGTTCTTTTGAACTTTCTGGTGAAAATAATTCAAAGTCCAATCCACATAAATGATAACAAATTAGTTTATTTCTTCCTTAATGTTTCTACTAGTTTAAACACTGTTGTTACTTGTATGTCATGTTTACAAATGACACGTATTGTCCTAGACTAACGTAAAAATAAACTTACTTGTATAAAGTAACTCAGTATGTGTAGTAGCCAACAAAGATCCAAACACGTCACTAAAAACAAAACTCGGACCTAAACAAACACACACCTGCCTGATTCACTCTACCAGTTAGAGATAACTCTGTCTTCTTATTGCTTCACTAAACCTTGTATTTATAATCTACCCTTGAATTCACTAACAAATGTGATATCAAAACTTTGAGAAATTTCTAGGTCTACATTATTAAACTTTTGAATCTTAATGCCTTTATTATGACCTTCAGATCCCTCTAGCTAACAAATAAATTACAACATTAAAAATACAGCTTACAACAATACTAAATATAATGATCTCAAACTGCACAACTGTTTTAGTTTTCTTTAGAAGCATTTTTTTCAGTATTATATCTAGATTATCAGAATGGGGGGGGGGGTGGCTGTAGACTGAATGGATTCAGACTAATTCATTTAAGTATTTTTAGTTTGTAAAATGTTGTCTCTCAATAGTTTGGTATGCACCAACTAAGTCATAAGGTTGTTTCCTGCATCTGATTGGCTGAGAAAAGGTATTGTTGTAGAATTCCTTTAAACTGATGTACCAGTAAAATTGCACAATGTGTCGGTAGAATTCCTTTAAACTGATGTACCAATAAAATTGCACAATGTGTTAGTAGAATTACTTTAAACTGGTGTACCAGTAAACTTGCACAATGTGTCAGTAGAATTACTTTAAACTGGTGTACCAGTAAAATTGCACAATGTTTCGGTAGAATTACTTTAAACTGATGTACCAGTAAAATTGCACAATGTGTCGGTAGAATTACATTAAACTGATTTACCAGTAAAATTGCACAATGTGTCGGTAGAATTACATTAAACTGATTTACCAGTAAAATTGCACAATGTTTCGGTAGAATTACTTTAAACTGATGTACCAGTAAAATTGCACAATGTTTCGGTAGAATTACTTTAAACTGATGAACCGGTAAAATTGCACATAAAGTACCACAATCCCAAGTGTACTTTGGTTATGTTTTGTTACTAAACAGAACCACTAAGTTACCGAGTTCTTCCTGTAATTATTTTTCACTTGGGATTGTGGTACTTTATGTACCGGTGAATCCACCAAATTGTTTTTGTGTGTTTGATCCAACAGAGCCAGAAGATTATGCAAGTTTTCCTGCATACATTGCTGCTTCTGTGGTTCCGTCACCATCTCGTCATCCAGGCCCCTTTCGTTTCCCAGATTCTCAGGTAACCTTTGAACTTCATTGACTGTTTGTAACAATAAGTTTTCAGAAATAGGTTTTTGTATTGTATTCCTGGTTAGATACAGGATTTCTGTGTAATATCATGTTAACTACCAGTAGCAGTAAGTCTGTAGCATGAAATTATTAGTCATTTAACCGTCACCTATAAAAAGATATTGTTGGTTTCATCGTTTCTTAGTTTATCAGCATTACTGAAATGGGTCTTCTACGTTTAATATCATGCAAAATAAAGCGTTTTTTTTTTTAGACACATTACACCCAAGTCATCATCCATCCACGACCCAGCAGTCACCCCAGTACCCCCACAGAAGAAACACGTCCCATTAGCTTTGGGAATGGTAGGTGGCACTTTTTTTCTATTTTTTCCACCAACTACACATGGGTAAGAAGTTTGAAATCCACCATTAAAGCAATAACATTAGTCCTGGAAATGGAGAAAATGTGATCAATAGTGATATTTGGATGGAAAGAATCCCAGCTAGTTTGAACTTAGATTTAGATTTAAAAAAAAGTAAAACTGAATGTAAGAAGCTTTGAAAACAGATTATGAAACATAACCAGAGTGGATAAAGAACGAGTTCCCTGTATTACATAGTACACAATTATTAAAAATCAGCATTAGAAAGAGTTTTCCAAAACCATACAGAAACGTGTTTCATCGTTTTTTATATGCACTGTCAAATACAGCTGAAATGAAAGGCTACTAAGTGTGATTGGGACAAACGAATTATGGGTAATTCAACATGTTTTTTCACAGATGGAGTGCCAACAGTAGCTCAGAGTTGTTTTTTATCTTTTGTATGTGTTCCAGTAGAGGTCATGTAATTTAACAGTTCTTGCCAGTAAAGTCATGTAATTTAACAGTTCTTGTCAGTGAAGTCGTGTAATGTAACAGTTCTTGCCAGTGAAGTCGTGTAATTTAACAGTTCTTGCCAGTGAAGTCGTGTAATGTAACAGTTCTTGCTAGTAAAGTCGTGTAATGTAACAGTTCTTGCCAGTGAAGTCATATAATGTCTTGTATCCTAAATGACTTTCTATAACAAGCCTTTCTAATGAAGTAGTGTTTCTTGAACCAGAACAAACTAGCAATAATAAATTCCTTCATAGCACCAATAACTACCTACAACAAACCACTTCATGGAACCCAGTCATCTCTGGAAGATCAGGGGATTGATATAGAGCAGAGTCCAGGGAGGGAGAGTCCAGGGGCCAGCAGTGGAGGCTCGCGTAACAGCACTTCCAGTTTAGACAGTGGCCGAGCATCAGCCTCGGGATCAGATAGCAAAGTAAGTTCTTCCTACACTATAGTAAATAAAATCTTCTTTCACTCACACTAAAATTTGTATTTCATATCTGTGATTCAAAATTTAACTTTTCAGTCCTTTTTTTTTGGAAGACTGGAATTAATATTTTAAATCATGGGTTATCATAAAAAAAGAGAAGCTTCAGAAGAAAAGATTAGCATATAAATAGAAATGATACAGTACCTTCTTTGAAGAAGGAATCCTACCAAAAGTGTTTGGTTATGTTGGTTGTATTCCTTAGCTATAAGTAGTACAGTTTACAAGATGTTTTTAACAAATGATTTTTCTGGTAAAACATATTATATTATTAAAAACAATGGCTGTCAAATAAGTAATCAACGAGACAGTGTGCCTAAACAATAGTAATGTGTTGTGGGATATAAAGTGAATATAAACTCAGTGATTTATTCATAACCTGCAAATTATTAGAATGTTATATAATACCTTTTAAGGTTGGCCCTCATCGGATGTCTGTCCAAAGTTACGAGTCTGGCTCTTCTCAGAGCCACCACAGTTCTAATTCGACCCTGGGGAGCGTTGACCGGATCGATGACAACGCCATCTCTGTTCCCAAAGTGAATGTTACAGAAATGATGTTGCACTCTGTTCCGGTAAGATATGAAAACTGTACACAAACAAATACATTGCATTAACTATTTAGATAAAAGATAGGTTGGTGTGGTATTACTTTGATTGTTTCATTCACTTGCTTTTTACTTTATGGAAAATATTTATGTGACATGCTTGTTTTTTGAAGTTAAGCACAAAGCTATACAGTGGGCTATCCGTGCTCTGCCCACCACGGGTATCGAAACCCGGATTCTAGCGTTGTAAGTCCACAGACATACCGCTGTGCTACTGGAGGGCATGTGACATGTATTAGAAACATTACATTTCTAATACATCTTAGTGGGATGACGTGTAATTAAATACTCTCCTCTTGTTTAGTTTCTGGCAGCAATGAGAGGTTTATTGAATTTGAACTACGTTTTATTGTGACTTAATTTGTGTGAAACATTGATTCTTAACACCTAACTAATGTAATTTTTAAGTTTATAAGTGTGTGTGTTTTAAATATGTTGGTAATTTTATTCTGTGTATAACACTTAAATTTTAGGGTTGGGTGGCTTAATTAACGTAACAAAAGTAAATACAAATATTGGATTATTTTTCAACCTTGCGGTGAGAGAGAGAAGTACAAAGGTCCAGCAGTTTTCTTTGAGAATACACAATCTATAAATAGGCTTCCAGTTCGTCTGGTTCGCGCTCTATACTTCGGGGGCCGTACTTCGTTATAAAGAGTGACTGTCAAATGCCACCCTTTGATCAGACTAGCCCACGAATTGGTGGCGAGTGGTTTTGAATAGCTGCTTTACCTCTAGTCTTTTTACTTCAAATTCAGAGACAAGATAGTGCAGATATTTATCGAGTAGCTGTGCGCGAAATTCAACAACTGTTCGTATGGTACAGATCTACCAGGTTTAATTAAATGGACGAAGCTAAGCCTAAAATAATACACGCGACATATTAATTAAACCGAGTTATTTCGTATAGCCAACGTAATCTAGGCCTAAAATCAACAACTGTTCGTATGGTACAGATCTACCAGGTTTAATTAAATGGACGAAGCTAAGCCTAAAATAATACACGCGGCATATTAATTAAACCGAGTTATTTCTTATAGCCAACGTAATCTAGGCCTAAAACGTTACCACACCTAACCAATAACGTTTTCCAAACTGTCAGGTTGTCCTCAGAGCACCCAAAATTTCACTGTTAACTCTAACTTAATGTTGCCTTTCCACTACGGCACAACGGAAGATCTGCAGACTTATAACGCTAGAAACCAGGTTTCGATACCCATGGTGGGCACAACACAGATAGCCTATTGTTTAGCTTTTTTCACTTGTCAAATGCTGTTCAACATAATATGTGTTATAACATTATTACGTTCACGTCTAATTGGTTCTGTCACAGACAAGTACTGTCAGTTACCTGAGCTTACTTAGTCAATATTTGTTGATGTCAGATCATCAAAACTTGTCACAAAACGTGGCTTTCAGCTGACTAAAAAAAAAGGTCATACACAATTTGGTGTGACCTGTTTTCAGCCGGAAAAGATGAAACGTTAATAATACCAACTGTTTTTTGTGTTAATCACGTTTAAGAACCACAGAACTATGTATCGTTTTGTTTAAATTGTAGGTTCTAAAATGTGTTGTTTTTTGTTTTTTTATCAAGCTGCTAATGGGGTGCAGTTGGCCGGTATTCACCTTGACTATAATAAAGGCAATTAGATCGCACAGGATAAAAAGAAGGGGGGGGATTTGGGCGGATATTCGCCCTCACTATTCTGTTAATTGCGTAAAGGAATCGACCTGTGTGTTTGTTTGGTTGTGGGAGTATTTTAAAAACTAAAATATTACCGTATTTTTTAACCATTTCAAATACTGTAAATGGAACTAACATAGATCTTTTAAAACGAACAGGTGAAATCACCCTCAGCCTTTATTGACTGAAAAACTCTAGGACTGAACAGGTTTAAGCTATGAGAGGGGATTCCTGATATAGAAATTAAGTAAACATTTTGAAAGTGAAACTGAAAATATTTATTTATATAAATATATATATATATATTCACCGTATTTTTCGGTGTATAAGACGCACTTTTTTACCCCAAAATTTGATGTCAAAA